TCTCCAAAGCCTTGGCCCGACCCTGCCATATCAGGGGAGTTGTGCAAATTTGTGGCTGTTAAACCTGTTGGGGCGAGAACCTTTGCTGAACATCTTTTGCTTCTGAACTTTATAATAAATCTTGCTTGTACCCTCAGCTCTGCGACCTCAGCCCCCATTTTGCTCGATCTCCTTTTCTGTCTGCAACGCTATGGTTCCACAGGCGCTGTTCACCCTCAGCCACCTCACCCACATTGGTCATTTGTCACGTGAAAACCTTGGCCTCTAAAGTTGTGCCACTTCTTATTCCTTAATCAGGAACCAAGTTATGCAAATGCTGACTCTCTCCCTCCACAGGTGGATGTGGATGTCATCCCACAACATTCAGTACTCGGCTCTGATATGAACTTCCGGGATTGGAATTCTAAGGATTCTTTCAAAGAAATTTCATGAAGAAATACTGCCCTGGGCAACCAAACCTAGCCGACTATTCAACCACCAGAAGCAATGTAGTCACACCTGATATGTTTCATTCAGTGTCCTTGCCCACATTCCAGCTGAGATTTCTATGTCAACAATCAGGAATCCTATCAATTAGGAATTGGTAACAAAAATATGCAAGAAATGCCCTCATGATCTATGGATTAAATACAACAACTTGTCGTCACTGGGAAATTTAAATAAATTCCCCCTATTTCGCCCACAATATACAGTCAATATATATATATGTGAGGCTGTACGCTTTATTAAACCCTTTAAGTAAAGGAAAGCTTTGGTTGAAGACAGTGATGATCTGATGCATCTGGTTTGTTCCATTTCAAAGTTTCTATTCAATTTCCCTTTCCTCAAGCCTTTCTGCTCCGCACAGTGTATCAGCGAATATGCTGAGGCAGCGGAAGACATTTGTGCAAAACCGGCTTTGCTCAGCGGATTTGCTAGGAGCCAAGCATGTAGCGGGGAGATCAAGCGTTTGCAAAAAGCGGTTGGTTTAGCAGCCCTGATAAGTCAGGCTTCGTGAACCACAATGCCTCTCAGTTCCACCACTCTGTACCAGTAAAGCTAAGTGTTTAAGCACAGCGTTTAAGATGTGGCGTGTTAGGCAAATGTAACGTTGCTACATACAGGGATTCAGGCCCCGATAAGTCCAATCCTCTCCAAGAATGAATTTCTTGGCATATTCAATCTAGCAGTGAATATGATGAATTAATATTCATAATTATTAATTAGGACGTGAGGGGTGCTAGCTATATAAGTGCCAGTTGTTGTTATTAGGAATTAAATGAAATGGAGAACACGAGAACAATGACACATACTCTCAATGCAGTTCCCAATGTTGTACTGTTTATAATAATAATAATAATAATCCTTGCATTTGATGTACCAATTTATTATTGTTTTACTTCAAGATGCGAAAACTCAGGTCTCTCACTTGCAAAGCGAGTGCTCTAACCACTGAGCTACAGGACTTGACAATGGAAACACAAACCTACAGCAGTTTGTTAGATGCTGTACAATCCCCACATAGATCAGTGGAAACAAGGAGGTGTCTTGAAAGCAGGTGAAGTTGCAACAGATTTCCTCTTGACACACTTCTGACAGGCGTTTCAAAATGGAAATCAAAATAGGTCAAACTAGTCCTGAGCACTGTTCAGAGAATGATTCCCATGACTGCGGGTTGTACAGCACATGACACGGTCACCAGGGAAAGAGAGAGAGATACAATCTAACTTAGGTTCTTATCTACTGAGTTCTAGAGAGTAGTTTAATCACTAGTTTCACTCCTTCTGTTTGTACAGAAATCTGAGTGCAGCCTTGCAATCATGCAGGGTTCTGTGTAGTCATTATTTTGAGTGTAAATTATCTGAACTCCTTGAATAAATGCCAACCTTGTCACAAACGAGGTTTAGATAAAGAAGACCTTTTGGCATATACAATACCATCTCTACAGTTTTCCCATTACAACATGGCATTTGTGTCTTAAATAACTTCTACCACCCTTCCCAGTAATAATAATCCTTGCATTTGATATAGCTCCTTATTTCGGCATTGAGACATCTCACAGCGCTTCATAAAATATACTGTAAAGTGAATTGACTGTATATCTTGTGAGCAAAATGCGGCAGCCAATTGCGCACAGCAGTGTCCCACAAACAGCCGTGGGTTGAGTAAGTAAATTATTTTTCTTTTTTTTTTGCAGGATTATTATCCCCGAAAAGCGATCTGACAATTGACTAACAACCATGTTCCTACTTACTGCTACGTAAAAATAGGCATGTGGAGTAAGGAAACTTGCCTAAGGTTTCAGCCCACCTGGGAATCGAACCCAGGTCCTCTCGTTTGCGAGGCGAGTGCTCTAACCACTAAGCTGCAAAACTCCAAAATGGTCTTGGATCACTATCTGTATCCTGTTTATTTATCATTACAGATATACAACAATAATAATCCTTGCATTTGATATAGCGCTTTTCACCATTATTCAGTGTATATATATAACCATTGTTCAGTGTGTATATATATATACACACACACACATACACTGAATAATGGTTATCTGGGACTGAATTTGTAATCTGACCAAATTTTTTCATTTTTCCATAAACCATATGAACCTCTTGATTAGATTTTACTAGTGAACCAATTGATGTCATTGCGTTACTGACTTTGATTTTCTCATTCCTGTGATCAGGACACTACTCTTATTTATGCATTATTATGACAACCAGCTAAGTATTATTGACATCAGCGGAGCAGCATTTACAGTTATCGCCAGTTACCTACCTGCCCATCTTCTCAGGGAATCAGAAATAAATTAAATATATTCTTTTAACAAAAATGAACTCAGCACTTGAGGCTAGAGCCCCTTTCAGTAAAGGTTATTTGTAATCTTCAAAGGCTTTCTGTCCATTCATTCCTGCACAAAGGGAAGTGTTTTACATAGAGTGATCTGTGAGCACTGAATCATCCATGTCAGTGATTGGGGATATGTAAGCAATATGTTCTTAAAATAATTTAAAATCTAATTTACTGCAGTGCTGGGTCATAGCATGCAAATTAATATTGCGTTGTCTCAAGCATCCTCTGACTTTCAGAACAAGGACAGTGTGGTGTATGTCCCCGCTCATGTGCCCAGAGAACGGGGTTGTGACTCAAGCTTACTGGACATCACCTGCAGATCCCCACGTGACAACCTTCTCATCTCAGACAAGTTGTCAGGAGGTCGGGTGGGTGTTGAAGCAGGACAAATCCATTCCCCTAGAGAGAAGAGGAAAACACAGAGGTTAATTCACTTCACTCTTGTGCTCCTGCTACTGAGCAGCTCCTGAACAGCATCTGTAACAGGAAACAGAACATTGTGGTTAAAAACAAAAGCAGCACAAAACAATCAGAGTGTGAGGAGCCTCAATCTGGTGCTGCTATCGTGAGGAGGTCTCAATGCGCTCCATATAAACAGGCAGACAGGGGAGTGGTGAGGCAGGCAGCTGGGAAGGTCAGAGATTAAAGGTTGACCAGCTAAGAAGGCTTGCCAGCTGTCTGAATTCTCCAGTGGATGCTTCATTAGCAAATACATTTTAAGTCCAGGAGACAAGAAAGCGAGAACACAAACCCAGAGCAGCTGGCAATGGGTCGCTGTGTAACCCAGATGGCCACGTCAGTAATGTCTGTAACCCGAGCTGGATCCTGGGCTGGATCCTGGGTTCCCTTTGAAGACGATAATTAGTTTAAACGCTGAGGCCAAACAGCCAATAAAGGCCTGAGGCTGCCTCGCTGACAAACTGGCCAACTGCTGGCTCAGAGAATGTTCTCTAATAAACAGACATCTCCTGACATGGCAGGAGAGGAAAGCTGCTTCTCACTAAGCTGCAGGAACCTGCAAAACTCACTCAGAACAAGGAGGGCAATAGGATAAGAGCAGCACCATATTGTTGAGAGTTTATTGTTATTCCTGTACTATAATAATAATAATCCTTGCATTTGATATAGCGCTTTTCACGTCTTCTAGACATTTCAAAGCACTTCACAGGATATACTGTAAAGTGAATTGACTGTATATCTGTGGGCGAACGCGGCAGCCAATTGCGCACAGCAATGTCCCACAAACAGTCGTAGATTGAAAATGACCAATTTATTATTGTTTTGGTTTTGGAGGGATTATTATTAGGCTCTGTGTGGAGTAAGGAAACTTGCCCAAGGTTTCCCCCTGACCCCCCGGGGATTGAACTCAGGTCTCTCACTTGCAAAGCGAGTGCTAACCACTGAGCTACAGGATCTCCTTTTCAAAATGACATTAGGTTTATTTAACATGACATGTGAGAAGGGGTTGGATTCTTTATTCCAGTAAAACGCCACAGTGATCTCTGAAAACATTGGAAACATTAACAGCTGCGAAACGGACCAAGATGACAAAAAATTGGGCAGCTGGAGAAACAGCAATTCAGAAGGAGACCACATTTTATATCCGAGATCTGTTCCAGGAGTCACCAAGTTATTTTCGTTGGTTTATTTTTTAACCCCAAAGCGGTAACCTCATGTGATTTCAGATCACATCCATTTGTTGCATGACTTGCCTCCCAGGGATCAGATTCTCTTATGACTAAACCCCATCAATGTTGCTTAATAACTGACGGGAATGGCCGGGGTGTGGAAAACGCATGAAATTGATATATGTTGTGGTTCACGGTGAATCCTGTAGAAGCAGTTTGAGACGTTCAGCCGTCATGACAAAGCACTTCATCACATGTATAATTATTATTGCTCTTAATATTCTGCAACTCACCTTTTTGCTTTCGTCTATAGTTTTATCCAAGGACATTATCGTTCGTCTTCACTACAGCACGATTCATGGCAGTGAAGCTGAGAGGTACTGAGCAACAACAAATCAGCATCTGCTGGTGAGCATTTTAAACATGAAGGTGTGGCGAGTGAAGCAAGTCAATAGCTCCCTTGTTCCCAGTGTTATGTGGGATCAATTCACCTGTTGTTATCCGGTAAATGCCGTGGAGCGAGTCCAGCAATCACAGATATTAAATTACCAGAGGTTAGTTTATTATAAATAATATATCCTGTACATCCATACATTCTCCTGCAACACAAGCTCCCTCTCCTTCACCCCCCACTAGATGTCAATCAGACCTCAGGGAGTGAGAATCCCTCTCCCAGCCTCTCTTGCACACCTCAAGGGGTTAATTATACAGCAGAACAAAGAAGCCTTGTGCAGTATGGAAAGTTGAGCAACAGGAAGAAAATATTAAAGTAACTGCCAAACACTAACGTCCCAATACAGCGGGCAAGTTTCTAAACTTCCCTCTTTGCTTGGAGTCCAAATGTCACAAAAGAACCGTTGTCAATGCTGACAGACAAAACCATCACAGAATCACACTCAGTGAGTGCCAGAAATACCCTGGCCTTTGCCTTCATTATTGTAATGTAAACGCTAACTAATAAAAGCAGAAGCTTCTCATAAATGGCGCTATATAATTGCAAATTGTATTGTACAACGAGGCATTTGGCTTTAGTTATGCCCCCATGTGAAACACAGCCCCACTTGCTATCACTTGAGCCCCAAGCCAATGGAAGGTAGTTTGTAGAAACTGGGTGGTGCATAAACCCACGACTTGTGTTACGACATCCGAGTTTGATGTGGGTCAATTTGGGTAACTCAGGTGTCACCTCTCTTGATCTTCACCCAGGGGTTGGCAACAAAGAGCATCAGAAGTCTTTGGTAATCTTTGATTTGTGGTGAAGGCTGAGATACTTGTGATGTTCTCGAGGCTGAGTTCCTCTGCGTCTCTGAAGCAGATGAGACGAGATGGCACTTGGGTTCTTTAATGCATGAAACTTCCACACCTCCGCTATCTTGTCCACCTACAGGGTTACAATAGCAACAATTTTCTTTTTTTTAAAAAAAATATAATAATAAATAATCCTTGCATTTGATAGAGCGCTTTCCAAGTCTTTGAGACATTTATTATTTCTCCCCGTGACAAATCCTGTTCTGTGACCTCCTAATTGCAGTTTCCCCGAAAACCCAGGACAAAAGTTGGGAGAGGAAAATCTCTATTAATGGTAGCCATTTGGCAAACATTGAAAATTTGGCGCATCAAACAGAATTAGTAACTAGCGCACGGCATTCCATTATTAAAAGGCCATCACAAATTAGGGTCCAATTGAACATGTGATCGAAAGCTTTGATAGATTGCTTTGTTACAGCAGTTGGACACTATGGGTAGTTGAAAGCCTTGTATTCTGTGAAGTATTATGAGACGTCTCGAAGATGTGATAAGGCGTTATAACAATGCAAGGATTATTATTATTATTATTTTTATTATTATCATTATTATGGCGAATAGAAAGGTCATTCAAAGAGATGCAAGAGTGCCGCAATACAGCTGTGGGACTGTCAACAACAAGACGGTGACACTGCCCTTTCGACTGCATATTCTTATCACAGTCCAACAATAAGTCCTGTTAAACGCAGCTCTGTGCTGTACAGAGCCTGCAATTACTGTGGCTCGTTCCGACACCAATTAAGGGCTTTACAAGTATCCAAATCATAGGCTGCCGAGAACATTGTAATTACACTATATTTACTTGGGAGGTATAATTCACCAGCTTTGTAAATCGAGGCCCAATTCTGGGGGTTTTAAGTCTAAAACATTTTATTAGTCAGTGGCCACAGATATTCAGCTTCCTATCTCTCTCCTATGCAATGCAGCCTCTCTTCTGAACTTTGCTCAAATTGTGATCATTTGCTTACATTTGTCTATACATTTATACACATCAAATACAACGGAGGTCAGGGAAAATATATTGTTAGAGATCGCAAAGAAATGCATTATCATTTGAGCCACTGCATCAGCGTAGATTGTTTAGGTTTAGTTTTTTTTAATGAGAATTTTTGTGGGCCTTCAAGTGAGCGAAGCAAGTATAAGCGCTCTGAGAAGCTACCCTGGATGGATGGTGCTATATAAGTGCAAGTTGTTGTTGTATTAGGCTATGCAATATTTTGCCATTTTTAAACATCCTTTGGAAGGAACAACCTCTTCCCTGTCAAGAATCACAGGCAGATACAGAGCGAAACTCCTACTTTGTCCTGAAAAGTGAGGTCATTCTCATCTCCATGGAACAAAGTTGCTGCCATGCACTATCCCTGCTCTGTTCAATGGGTTTGGCCGATGGATGATCACTGTCCGTATCTAAATACAAAGGCATTTTAAATGTATGAAAACATAATCTCAAATATAATGCAAAGCCACTTTGGTTACCAGCATTCTATTAGGCAGAACACAACGGGAACCAAAACACCATTAGTCCAGTGGCTTCCTTCCATTTCCAACCCTTGCCTGTGAGTAGTAGAATCCTTGTAGGTTCTGGGAGTGTTACACTATTATACTATAAGTCACCTTCTTTGTCTATCAGTGTGTGACTCTGTGATCCTGGTTCTGACTTGTATAGGGATATGTCATGTTAACAAAGAAATCTGCCTTGTTGAATTCCATTTATTTTTCCCTTTCATAAACAAGCAACATTAACACCAGTTTATAGTGAAACTGACCTCTATAATTCTAATCTGCACTCTATTGCCAAAATCATTGTTTCTTAATGTTTTAGAATAATCAATAATAATACTTGCATTTGATACAACTCCTTATCACATTATTGTGACGTCTCAAAGTGCTTCACTTTGTGGAATGACTGTGGATTTTGTGGGCGAAACACAGGAGACAATTTAAATAAAATTAAAATAATTTTTTAATTAAACAGCCAATTTCTGCTGGCTTAATTCTCCTTTGCCTACAAATAGTCACTTGACTAATTACCTAGGAAACATTTTGAGATGTTGCAATGAATTAAGGCATTAAAGAATGAAATTCTTGGCTTAATTGACTTTTGTTAAAAAGTCCCTTTTTTCAATCCTACACATTCTCCATCTTTTACTCACAGTCTCCCTAGAGGTTCCAGTCTGCGTTTCCATTTCCCGACTCCCGTTGTGATGTGTGGGTCATGGGTTGCCTCATACATACAGACACTTACAGATACATGCAGATTGCTGCCAATGGTGTGACATTAAAACAACTGTTGCTCCCATTACTACAATCCGGGGTTTGCATAAACTGGAAATAATCTTCCCCGCAGGAGACATTTTACGAGGGTGTCTCAACATCCAAACCTCTTACAATACTTACAAACATTTATTTTATTTTAACTGATATCGGCTTTTCAAATTTGTGCCAAGTAAAAAAAAAACCTGGTGTGAGCCCAGTCGGGATAGAGACACCACAGTTAGCCACAGAGTTACTGGAGAGGATGACAAGAACAGCCAGAATTCCTGCTCGTAATCACTTGTCATAGATGCCTGCTGGGAAGTGGGTGTGTATATATGTGTGTGTATATGTGGTGTGTGTGTATATGTGTGTGTGTATGTGTGTGGTGTGTGTGTGGGTGTGCATGGTGTATGTGTATATGTGGCGTGTGAATGTGGCGTGTGAATGTGTTGTGTGTGTATGTTGTGGGTGTTTATGTGGTGTGTTTATGTGGTGTGTTTATGTGGTGTGCGTGTGTGTGTATATGTATGTGTGTGTATATGGTGTGTGTATGTGATGTGTGTGTGTATGTGGTGTGTGGGTATGTGGTGTGTGTGGGTATGTATATGTGTATGTGGTGGGTGTAGTGTATGTAGTGTGGTGCGCATGTGAGTGTGTATATGTGGTGTGTGTGTATATGTATGTGGTGTGCGTGTGGTGTGTATGTATGTGGTGTATATGTGGTGAGTGTGGAAGTCGGGTGAAGACACGATTCGGGACTAGCTGTGACTTAGCGGACACCGTTTAGTGAACGTCGCAGGGAATTGACTCACGGGAATGAAGTTATCCTTCTTGTTCTCAGCCTCCAGTGCTGTCAGTTCCTCAGGGTCGAGCAGAAAGAGCCGCAGTTCGTGGACAACCTCCTTGGCTGTGTCTGGCACAGATACACTCAACACCACCTGTGGTACATCCCAGGTCACAACACACAGCAGTGTTTATACAGCAGCTCAAGGCTCAAGTCACAAAATCAAATCCGGCTTTTACCAATATCCCAAATTAGATCCCATTGAATTGGTTTACTGCGTAAATGCCAGAGGCGAAGAAGGCAAGTATTCAGGTCCATGACCCCAGAGGAATTTAATTCTAAACTGCACAAATTCTTTGGTGATTTAGCTGCAGGTCAAACAGCTAAAAGGCACTGGCAGCTTTCACAGGAGAAACTGTACACATATAAATGCTAATCCTATACTACACTGTAATAATAATATGGTCATTCAATCCTTGACGGTTTGTGGGACACTCCTATGCGCAATTTACTGCCACGTTTCGCCCACAAATTAGACAATCGCTACACTTTACAGTAAAGTGGAGTCCTGTAGCTCAGTGGTTAGAGCACTCGCCTCGCAAGCGAGACACCTGGGTTGTTTCCAACAGGGCGAAATGTTGGGCAAGTTTCCTTACTCCACACGTCTCTGGGGATAATAATTCCTTCAAAAAATAATAATAATAATAATTTGGTCACTCAATTTGGCTACAACTGTTTGTGCGACACTGTTTGGCTGCTGCGATTCGCCCACAAATATAGAGTCACTACATTTTACAATACTTTCTGTGAAGCATTTTGAGACGTCTCGAAGACGTGATAAGGCGCTATATCAAATGCAAGGATTATTATTATTATTGGATTGAATATTGAAGTGGAAAACGAATACGATACACACGTAATCAATCCCCTTTTTTTNGTGGATTGATGTTTCCAGACTGTCTGGCAGTGCCCAGGGTTGTCTGGCAGTGCCCAGGGCTGTCTGGCAGTGCCCAGGCCTGTCTGGCAGTGCCCAGGCCTGTCTGGCAGTGCCCAGGCCTGTCTGGCAGTGCCCAGGCCTGTCTGGCAGTGCCCAGGCCTGTCTGGCAGTGCCCAGGGCTGTCTGGCAGTGCCCAGGGCTGGCTCACAGGTTTATACTGACCGAGTTAACGTGGGCCCACTCTCTGACACAGGTAATTAAATCAGGCTCGTCAATGGTGAGTAAGTCACTCTGCAGGATGGCGAGCAAGGCGGGGTCAGACAGCTCGTGGAAACCCTGGGTCTTAACAATACCCTGCGGAGAAAGCAGGACATTCATCCTGTTAGAAACCGCAGGAGCAGCAGAGCACCTGCCATGAAAACACAAACCAAACACAGTATAAATCTAACCAAGGTTAAATCATCACACTAACACACAGGGGAAGAATGTCCAACATGCAGCTGGTCAACAGACACAGTGATTGACACAATCTCTGGAAGCGGCATTTTGCTCGATGACCAGGCCCTGGGGGGAGGGGTGTGTGGAAATAACAATAATAATCCCTTGCATTTGATATAATGCCTTACCACACCATTGAGACACCTCAAAGTGCTTCACAGGATATGTTGCAAAGTGAATAGACTGTACATTTTGTGGGAGTAATGAAAAGCGATCTGCCCATCAATTAACAACCGAGTTCCTACTTACTGCTAACAGAGGTAAACAGAGGCGTGTGGAGGGAGGAAACTTGCCTAAGGTTTTGCCCTGCCCGGGCATCAAACCCAGGTCCTCTCACTTGCGAGGCGATCTTGTGTACAATCTTGTATGAAAATAAGATTTTTTATTTCTCATTCTCAAAGAAAGTGAAAGGCCCAGATTTTCTGCAGGTCATTCTAATAGGACATGAGCCATCGCTCCTCACGCCTAGTGAAATTGTCTCCAAAACAAACCTCTGTCTCACAGTTAAAATTAGAATAAAGGACAATCAGTCGAAGTGGGAAACACCTAACTCCCTCGTCTTGCAGCTTTGCTTCTTATCAAACACAAGGATTATTATTATTGTTTTTTCCTCCCTCATTTTATCGTCTAGGAAAGGTCACCACACGTCAGTCAGGGTGACTTTTAGCGCATAGAGTTATTCTTAGCAACTAATTAGACAATCAGTCACATCCAACAGCTCATGTGCGCAGATGGAAATAAGAGCCAGCAGGATGGCTACATGGCATAATAATGCTGTCATCCTTTGTACTCCCTCGGAAAGAGCAAGTGCTCAGAGAGCAAATGCTCCCCCTTTCTCTCTCTCTTTCCTCCCCCCTCCACCCCCACATCCACTCTTCTGGAATCTAAAGTGTCCCAATCTCATGACTTGTTTCCACCTATGTAGTTTAGGGAGTTTCTCTCTCCCGTGACCAACAATCCCCCAAATAAAATTGGTCACTGGCTCACTCCATGGTTGTTTGTGGTCCATTGCAGTCTGCAAGCTAGCTGTCGCGTTTCGCCCACAAAATACACAGTCACTCCACTTTGCGGTGGATCCTGTGAAGCGCTTTGAGACGTCGCGGCGATGTGATAAGGCACTATATCAAAGGCAAGGATTATTGTTATTACTATTATTACTATGGGGAAAACTCCCTTCTCTTTCGAAAGGAGTCACGGAATCTTTCACGTCCACCTGAACAGACAGATGGGAGGCGTTGGTGGAATGATTGCGGGTCAACTACATGTCTTGGCAATAGTGAAGGGGGCAATTGCTTTTCATGCAGTGAATGCATTTTATCCGGGCAGGTACAGTCCCACACTGTGCTTTGCATTGGCTTGGAATCCCCCATGGGTCTTATCCCATTGAACAGCAATTGCAGGAAGGAGCTACTCAGAGCATTACCCAGCTGGGCTTGGTCTTATAACAACTGGCATTACAGTACAGTAACACCAGAAAGTTGGAGTGGTGGAGGGAGCAGAAAATCTGGCTGCAGTGTTGGCTAATGGATAAGACTTGCCACAAGAAGTCCCCGAAAGCAAGAAAAAGGCAAACGAAAAAATCAGGGCAAAATAATAATCGCTTAAAAGGCTGTTCACTGCAAACATTTAGACTCAATACTGCCAAACACGGTTGCTGCACAAGCTTAAAAAAGATCCCAATGATAAGGAAAAGACAAAATGGAACCAAAGCCAAATACTGCAGATGCCAACAATTCCACAGATTATGTTTACACGTCACAAAATTCTTAACAAGTTTTTTTTAAAGAAAAAGGAATTAAACTGTGTTGGTGCAGCTCAGTCAGTATAGTGCTAAACTAGGCAGGTCTCAGATGTGGGAACAGAAGGGAATTGGGGAGAAGCACTTTATATAAAAATAAATTCAAGATCACAGAGTTATTCTGAGTGCTTTACATGGACTCAGACGTGATACTCACTGATGTTGTTATTTCCATGTTATCTGTCTTAAACCCGCTGTTAAAATAAAAGGAAAGCTTTGTACTCGCTCCTGAAAAGGACGCAAGCTCCATAATTATCAGCAACACCCATTCAGTTAAGAAAGTACGATTTAAAAAGCACCGGGTTTATAAATAATTTGTCACTATGACAACATCCGTTGACTCAATCTGCGTAACATCCATTTCCAGACGAACGCATTTAATTCTCTACCATAAACGGGCCCAACATGTGATGGAACTGTCGTCTTTTCCCACTAACTGTGCTCACAGGATCGAGGTGGCTTCAGATGGTCCCCAGTGGAGTGCAAGTGACCCAATGGCCAGGCAAAGGGAAGCCATCAGACCAGCTTACTGCAAACTAACTTGGTCACTACTTACTTTAGTGTGGTGCTCGATAAAGGCCAGACATTTTCCCTTCATGTCAGTCTGTGCATACGTCACTGCAGCCTGCAGAGTAGAGAATATTTACAGAATTATTTATAGGTTTAATCCATTTCTTTTCTATTCACGCCATACCTCATCTTGGCCCCACATTGGGACTTGGAATCGTATAATTATTATTATTAATAATAATCCTTGCATTTAATCTAGCGCCTTATCACGTCTTCGAGACGTCTCAAAGCGCTTCACAGAAAATACTGTAAAGTGAATTGACTGCATATTTTGTGGGCGAATTGTGGCAGCCAATTGCGCACAGCAGCGTCCCCACACACAGTCGTGGATTGAATTTCAGATGAGACATTCATTGAAGCCTGTGACTGTGCACAGAGAATAATCACCAGAGACCCTCAGAGCATTAGCCTGGCTTGGATTCAAACACAGATCTCATAGGTAACAGTACAGTGTAAAACATGGCCACCTCTCAATAAGTAGTTAAAGGCTTTGAAACTCTCAAATAATAATGCAGTGAGTATTGTCTTCCACGCGTTTGCTCCCCTACTATTATTTGATTGATGCTTACAGTGGGTTCCTTCCTGTCTAAGAGCACCTGATAGGCATCACATAGACAGTGCCATCCAGGACACAGAGCAGTGAGTTCTCATTCTGGTCTGAACATTCAGAGGCCTCAGTGAGAGAGAGTGAGTGAGTGCGACATGAAGTAGCTAATCTCGGTTGTAATGCATGAGGAGGTGATGCTGTGCAGAGACTGGGAACTCAGGAAAAGATGGAAAACTCCATACAAGTCCCCGCTGGATCCTTAATACATGTGGTCTGGCAACCAGACAAGTGTTAGTCACAAGTGGTAACCCAGGAACATGCCAGTTACTGAGCACTCTAACTGCACAGTCTTTTCACAGTACTTGTGGGCAGAGAGAGTGGGGGAGACAAATACTGGAGGGGAACCAAACCTAAATGAAATCCTCCTGTTGTCCGTTTCTCTTTTGTTCAAGAGAAAGCATTAAATTTACGTTATTGAAACCAATGTGATAAAATAATACACAAATGCCCTTTAATTATCAACTCATTTGCCTGAGTTTGCTTATATCTGGCTTTTGTTTCACAACCTTTAAAGGTCTGGCTCTAGTCAAGTGATGGTCTATTTATAACTGTTGCCAATAGCTCAAAGGTCAACTGAAACCTTCCTGTGTCCGTGGGTTTTCTGCAAAGTCCGTTATGACCAGGGTCTCTTTTGAGCCACAACAGAAACCTCACTGTAAAGTGACACAAGCCTCACACAACCCACCTGAGATCTAAAGGCCAGAGGGAACTCAATCAACCCACTCAACACTTCAGGCTCAAGTGTTGCCTTTCAAAGGTCTGGACAGAGAGATAAAAAACTTTTTTTAAAAAAAGGGGCCTGTGACTCCGACAGCTAAATAAGGATCCTAAACCGCAGACTGACAAATGGATGTTTTACAAAATCGAGACTTGGACAGGCATAGACATGAGTGAGGAACAGAGAGACGCACACACACACACACACCACACCCGGACACACATACGGACAGCAAACTAAAATAGGCAGAAACACTCAAGACATTGTGCTTAATAGTCAGACATGTGGGAACAGAAAGACTGATATAGATACATGATAGATAGGAACATATAAACTATAATTAAGACAAGATACATGTAGATATATAAAGAATGACTGAGAGTCTGACAGGGCTATTTGGTTACCAGAAGTAGTAGCAGCCAAGGTACTAGATTTTGCAAACATCTATCTGGGGATTATTATCTCCGGAACATCGCCAGACTACGGCACTACCTCACCCCTCACGCGGCTGAAACTCTGGTCCACGCCTTTATCACCTCAAGGCTGGACTATGGGAACTCTCTCCTCGCCGGCCTTCCCGGCCCTCCCTCCACACTGCAGGTCATTCAAAACTCTGCAGCTCGTGTACTGTCCCGCACCAGACACCGAGACCACATCACTCCCACCCTCGCTCGCCTCCACTGGCTCCCCATCCCCCAGAGGATCGAATTCAAGATCCTCACCTACAAGGCCATTCACGGCCTCGCTCCCTCCTACCTCTCTGACCTACTATCCCCCTACCTACCCGCCCGTACCCTCCGTTCCTCTGGCTCCGGTCTACTCCACATTCCCCGCCCCAACCGCCCTACCATCGGTGGCCTTCAGACTCTCAGCCCCGAGGCTCTGGAACTCCATCCCCAGTCCCTTCGCCGCTTCCTCCTTTCCTCCTTCAAGGCCGGTCTCAAGACCTTTCTCTTCAACCGTGCCTTCAGGTCCCCTCTCGACTCTCTACCCCCTCCTCGCTCCCTCCCTTCCCTCCCCTCACCCTGACCATTTCCCCCCTCCTCGCTCCCTCCCTTCCCTCCCCTCACACTGACCATTTCCCCCCAATGCTCGGGTCCCGACCCAACTGTCCAGCGCCTTGGGACGTCCTCCCGACGTAAAAGGCGCTCTATAAATGCAATCTTGTTGTTGTTGTTGTATTGTCTGGGAGGCTGCTATTATTGGGGTGAATTCTCCCTATGAGGGTTTTGTCTGCAACACATGAAAAGAGACGAAAGCATTAATTATGTGCCATTGAATATGAGAGCCAAGTTACCCCTAAAGTAGTTACGGCCTCTTCACACTGATGTCAGGAAGACGATGCTAAGCAAAGTCTTCTAATTTAGACACAATGAGAAATTGAGTGTTCTCCAAGTCTGGTATAGTGCATTGATACTAAACCAAACACTAATTATTTCATCCTTAATTTGATGTAGCACCTGATTATGTCATTGAAAAGTCTCAGAGCACTTCATAGAGTGCACTCTGCTGTAGATTACAGTGATTGCATTTTGTAGAGGAACGTGGCAGCCAATTTCTGCATAGTAATGTCCTACAAAAGAACCATAAGGTAAATGACCAATTTTATCTGAATGACTGTTGCTCAGGACTTTTTTCAAAGAGTACCATGGGATCTTTAACAGGTAGACAGGACTTTCATTTAACATCTCAGGAGGTAGGAAGACACCTCTGTCAATGTAGTGTTCTTCTAACACTGTACTGGAGGGTCTATACACTGAAAGTCCCAATGTGGGGCTTGGAACCCACAACCGTTTGTCTCAGTTGCTACCAACTGACTCAGACTGACACCAAATAGACTCACCAACTACGCCCTACTTTGCCAACAGGGATAAATCACACCGTCTGAAGGCTCCTCTCAACAAGAGCAAAACTCTTCCATTTCCTGAATTTTATCATCATGATCTTTCCTAGTAATACGGCCACATTGACGGTGAATGATCTGAATGAACTGTTAGCGCTTTGCATTGCAGCTGTCAATTTGCATTTGATGCTGCATTTAGCTTAGAGTGAGAACCGTCTCAAACGTCTCTGCCATTCGGAAGTCACTGCTGCTTTGTGGGACAGAATTCTTGGTATCAACATGCAAAGCCCTGTGCGACATCGCAACTCATGTCTGTCCACAGACCCTCCATAAAGTGCAGGCAGGCCAGCGATACCAAAGCTACCATTCAATCGTGTCTGCTCAGGGCTCAACCCCAGCCCAAAATACAACACAACAGCCCCCCGGAGCCAGGTTTCCTGACCATTTCAACAATGAGCAACATTTTTGTTTTCATTTTATTTTCATTCATTCGCATTAGTTCAATTACAAAAATTGCCCAAGGTTTCACCCCGAATCCTGTAATAATGTTTCCAGAATACTGTGATTCCCAAGTCAATTTCTTTATGTTCACCTCAGAATCTGTGTCTAATGTGATGGATCAAGTATCTTACAATGCAATACAAAATTACATTTGTAAAGTGTCGGGAGGACGTCGCAAGGCACTGAACAGTCAGGGATTAGGATGGGGAAGGGGGGGTGGGGGTGCTGGGGGGATGGGGATCAGGGAGGGTGGAGGGCAGAGAGGGTGGCCGAAGGCACGGTCGAAGAGGAGGGGCTTGAGGCGTGCTTTGAAGGAGACAAGGTTGGGAACCAGGTGAAGGGAATGTGGGAGGGAAGAGTTGGGAAGGTCGACAAGCAGGGAGTTGGCAGTCGAGCCTGGTTGTAATGAAGGCATGTATAAGGTTCGGCGGCCTGAGGGGTGAGGCAGTGGTAGAGTCGGGCAATGTTTGCGAGGTGGGGGAAGGCAGAGCGGGTCATGGCAAAGATGTGGGAGAGAAAGAATAGTTGAGGGTCGAATGAGATGCCTAGGTTCCTGACTGGCTCGGTGAGTGGCTTGTTTTCATAAGTGAAAATGATTAGCAGAAATAAGTAACTTTCCTTTTTTTACTGTTATATACATTTGTTCCAATGGCACTGAAACTGAGCAGGATTTTTTTCTAGCCCATTACCATCTGTAAATAGAAATGGTGTTCCCTGCTTAAAAGTTGCAGGATGATTATTGACCTTGATCTTTACCTCAAAGACAACCTTTAAGTGTGGATGAAAAATTAGCCAACAATATCATTAAGTTGTTATGGGAACATTACATATTTGTGGCAAAGTTTAATCTGTGGTCCTTCTGGTTCTATGTATCACAACTGGGACGGTTTCAGGCCAGGACACAAGACTCTGAGAGACCAACAGCCTGAAGCTTCAGTAGGTCCTGGCAGATGTCCATCAGACCAAACACTGTGTAAACGTAACTAGAAACATGTCCAAATATCCTGCAGGTAACACCACAGCAACGAACCAGGTGCAGAGTGAGAAGCCCTCAGGGCAGTATACTCAGTGGGGGGTGTACTCAGTGGGGGAGGTGGGTGTACTCAGTGGGGGAGGTGGGTGTACACAGTGGGGGAGGTGGGTGTACACAGTGGGTGGGCGGGTGTACACAGTGGGGGCGCGGCGGGTGTACACAGTGTGGGGCGCGGGTGTACACAGTGGGCGGGTGTACACAGTGGGTGGGCGGGTGTACACAGTGGAGGAGCGGGTGTACACAGTGGAGGAGCGGGTGTACACAGTGGGGGCGCGGGTGTACACAGTGGGGGCGCGGGTGTACACAGTGGAGGCGCGGGTGTACACAGTGGGGGCGCGGGTGTACACAGTGGG